CTCTTACACCGGTTCACCAATCTATCCGTTAGCTAAATATCTCTCAACAATAATATCGCCGTTTCAGAAATTTCTCCCCCACACCGTTCAGAACGCCACATCAGTGGTAGAGGTTATGCAAGCAATAGCGATACCCCAAAATTACCACATGATTTCATTTGATGTTGAATCTCTATACACGTCTATCCCACATAAAGAAGCCATTAGTGAAATTTCAAAATTTATAGACACCAATCCACAACTTAATTTATCAATTTCCAAAGAAGCACTTGAAGACTTACTCGATCTATGTTTATCCTTCAGTTATTTCAGTTACAAAAACCAGTATTATAAACAGATTAAAGGCCTTCCAATGGGCAATCCAATATCTTCTGCCCTCGCCAATATTTATATGAATCATATTGACAATATTATCATTGCAACTAAACATCTCAAAATAATAGCCTGGAAACGATATATTGATGATATCATTTGCATCAGTGAAATAGCAACCTCGACAATATTCTAACCTTCCTCAACAGTTTAAAGCCATTTTTAAATTTTACATACTAAATAGAAAATAATAGCTCTTTAGCATTCTTAGACATCAAGCTTACCATAATAAATAGCAAAATAGAAACCAGTATATATAGAAAACCAACGCATACAGGCAAATATCTCAAATTTAATTCATTTGGCCCCATTAATAATAAAATATCCCTTTTAAAAACACTTTCTAAAAGAATATCCACCCACTGCTCCTCAAATATTAAAAATATTAAGTCTGAACAAAACATATTTTACAATGAGATAAAGAATAATGAATATCCTCCAAGTTTAATCAAGAAACATATATATAACCCCACCAACAGTCCTACAAACAATAGTGAAGAATCGAATATATACTGTGCACTGCCATACAATTATGGCATTGAAAGTATAACAAGAATACTTGAAAATTACAATATCAAAACCCGATACAAAACCACAGCAAATCTGAAAGATATTTTACGCCATCCAAACACTAAACATAATAGCAATCATGAATTTAAATCAAATATAGTATATCGCATCCCATGCAAATCATGCCCAGCAACCTACATAGGAGAAACAGGTAAAACTCTTGAAGAAAGAGTAAATCAAAACAAAACAGCTTTTAAAAACCATAGCCCATTATCACTTCTAGTAGATCACGCACTCAAACAGGACCATATACCAAATTTTGAAAATACAGATATTATATACAACAACATTCAGGATAAACACTCAAGACTCTTTTTAGAAAGTTGGACCTCAATGAAAGATACCAACAGTATTAATAAAAAATTGACATCCCTCCGTTATACAAGGTATGTCCCATAAGTTCCCGGACTGGGTCCATAAAAAAAAAAGGTAAGATTTTTTATTTTTTTTTTTATTAAAACTTTTCAAAGTGATCCCCCCTTGCTTCAACGCACCAGCGCCATCGTTTCTCCCAATTGTCGAAACAGTTTTTATAGGCCTCTTTTGGAATGCTCTTCAATGCCAGCAGCGATTTTTCTATTATGTCTTCCCTGGTGTCAAAATGTCTTCCTTTTAGAACTGCTTTGAGTTTGGGGAACAGGAAAAAGTCATTTGGTGCGATGTCTGGGGAATAGGGTGGTTGAGGTAGGATTTCTGTCCCGTTTTTCGCCAAAAAACTCGTCACCAAGTGCGCTGTGTGAGGGCGGGCATTGTCATGGTGTAGGATCCAGTGACCATTAGTCCATTTTTCTGGCCTTTTTTTTCGAATCGCTTCCCTTAGACGGCGAAGAATGCTCAAATACATTTCCTTAATAACTGTTTGGCCTGCAGGAAGATACTCGTGATGAACAATGCCCTTGTTCTCCAAAAAAGCGACCAGCAACACCTTGTTTCTGGATTTCAATATCCTGGATTTTTTGGGTCTAGGCTCACCCTGACCTCTCCACTCGGCAGATTGACGCTTGGTTTCAGGGTCATAGCCATAGACCCATGTCTCGTCGCCTGTGATTATCTTGTCTTTCCATTCCGGATCCGTTCTTGTCATTTCCAGCATGTCCTCACAGGTTGCACGCCGACACAGTTTTTGCTCATTAGTGAGGAATCTTGGGATGAATTTTGCAGGAGTCTTTTTGAGCCTCAAATCTTCGGTTACGATCCTTCCAATCGTTGTTTTAGAGATGACTGTGTCTTGCTCTAGCTCCAGCAAAGTGGTTCGAGATTTTCTTTTATCAAATCGGTGATTTATTGCACATTTTCATCAGTCCTTTAATATTTTGGACGTCCTTGACGAGGATCATCTTCAATGGAAATTCTGCCAGCTTTAAATCTAGAATGCCATTCAAAAACAGTTGTTTTCTTTGGGGCGTCATTGGAAAATGCTTTATTAAGCATTTCAAAAGTTTCGGTTGCTGATATTTGAAGTTTCCCACAAAATTCTATGCAAATCCTCTGCTTCAATTTTTGTTCCATCGTAAAATCGCCGCAGCGCTAGGTGTGACCTTTAAATAAATTAGAATAACTTTGGCGCGCGTGCACGTACAGCCTCGATATTGGTACCACCGTGTTGCCAGATATTTTTTTCTATAATAAACTGTCAAATTTATTTACATTTTTCATTTATTTATTTTTTATGGACCCAATCCGGGAACTTATGGGACATACCTTGTATTTACAGTTCAAATCGATTTAAAATTATTATACTTATTATGAATCATGTATATAGTCTATTATCACTGATATTTGTGTGTATATATTTTAAATTTTAGCCCCAGAGTTGTAAATATTTTATATATCGTCGCGTGAAGGCATCGCGTGATCATCCAAAGCAGTTTAAAAACAAGAAACGCCCTGATGAAGTTAGGCGTATAGCCTATTGAAATATTGGCATTTTATATTAAATAAAATGTTTGTTTTATTTTAGATCCAAAATATGCCTTTCAATTTATATATATATACATTTTAACGCCTTGATATATGTTTTAATTTTTGTTTGCTCCTGACGAGGACAAAAGCTTTTTGTCGAAACGTCGAGGTAATAAAAAGATTTATACTGGCCGAAGTATCTTTTTTCAAGAAATATATACAATTGTTGAAAAATTACGTAAAACGGAGAAAAATATAAAATTATCATTCAAGAGATCGAGATATGCTTATTATTGATTAATTAATAAATATGCAATATATTATATCATAATATTTAATATTTTTTTATACAGAAAATATTTTCTGATATTATTTTTTTACTAAGCAAATTTCCCTCCTTGTCTCCATTTTATTTTATACTAGCGGATGTGTACCCGGCTTCGCCCGGGTTTTATCTGAGTGAAAGTTTGCCTAACGAATATTATTGAAAATAATTTTCCGGAACATAGACTATTATGATAATAATGATAATAATATTCATTGCATTATATTTTTTATTATATATTTATATAATACGAATGGCCCGGGCAACCCCCGGGGTTTCCCTGAGTGCGTATATATTTTAAAAACGTTTTAATTCAAATACTATTCGTTACAATTATAAATTGGCGCCATGGATGTCACTCTTGTGAAACGTCCCGTAACAAACTGTGTTTTTAAAATGTTTTAATTAAAATACTATTCGTTACAATTATAAATTTGAACGATAGGCTCATTATTTCTTTATACCGTTATTATACCGTTATATTATATATATTATATTTATTATATATATATTACACGTTATTTGTTTTCTTGGCCGACTGTTTTACATATGGTGTTATCTTAAAATTGCTTGTTTTGAATATTTTTCAGATTGAGATTATTAGCTAGTATGTAAAAAAATTAACTCTGTTGAAATTTAATTTTGTATTTATATATAAATAAAATTAACTCTGTTGATTTTTTTGTATTTAATCGATAACAGCGAAGTTACGCATGTTAATGTTAGGGAAAAATATTTTGATGTTAAGCAAAACCTGCTCCATCTCGTTTTACATAAATGTTGAAAATTTGGTCAAAATTTATGCATTGTAACGAAAGTTTTTAGTGAACAACACTTATGAAATTTGCATTTTATTAATATAGACTATCCAAATTACTTGGGCAACGCCTGGGATTTACCCGAGGGCATTTTTCCCCGAGTTGGCATGTATAAGAAAAAGTTGTTTTTATTCAAATACTATTCGTTACAATTATGAAATATATCCCCGGCTTCGCCCGGTTTGTTTTACCCAAGTGGAAGTTTGCCTAACGAACATTTGTTAAACAATATTCGCAGGGCTAACATCCACTTCCTACTGAATCTATTATTATCAAGATGAATTGTTTTTATTACTCTTCTCCAACAAAAATATTGAAAAATTTGCATGTAGGTAGCTGAATAAGGTTTACATATAAGCTATTCAAAGAATGTAATTAGACAATAAACAAACCATTTTTCATAGTTTGAAGTTGAAAAAATATAATACATTTTATATACAGACCGAGCTTCGCCCGGCTTCTCCGCTAGTGAATGCTTGCCAGGCGAATTTTGCCTTAAATAAAATGTCATTTATTATAATTACTAGACGAATTGCCCGGGCAACGCCCGGGTTTTACCCGAGTGCGTATATATTTTAAAAACGTTTTAATTCAAATACTATTCGTTACAATTATAAATTGGCGCCATGGATGTTACTCTTGTGAAACGTCCCGTTCCAAACTGTATGTTTTTAAAATGTTTTAATTAAAATACTATTCGTTACAATTATAAATTGGCGCCGTGGATGTCTCTCTTGTGAAACGTCCCGCCCCAAACTGTGTGTGTCTTGAAAATATAAAAATAAAAATGTGAATTTTCATAAAGATTTCATCATGTCGATTTTTTTTTTGCATTTCACCTACTAAATCGATAGAGATAATTACATTTGCAACATGAACTTAGGTATATTTACTAAATAAAATATAATATAATATATATAATATAACGGTATAATCTACTTATATAATTGTCTTAGTCTGTCTGTGTGAAGTTCACAGATAGATTTTAGTCAGAATGGATAAAATAAAAAAAGTGTCAAGGGATGGAAATCGTACCCACGACCTTCCGCTTACCGGGCAGATGCCATGACCACTAGGCTACCCTGGACATATTTTTCCGTTCATAAAGTTAATATATGATGCCAATATATATAATAATTGTATAAACGAATGCAAGACAAAATCACCGCGAATGTTTCTTTTTTTTAAGGCAATTATCGTTTTGCACAATTACTTAATCTTTTAAAATAAATAACAATACTTAAATGAAAATATGTTTCTTTAAATGAAATAAAATAAACTTTTAAATCGGTAACATTTTTAATGAGAACCTTTAAATATATATAAATACCTTATAATTGTAACGAATAGTATTTTAATTAAAACATTTTAAAAACACACAGTTTGGAACGGGACGTTTCACAAGAGTGACATCCATGGCGCCAATTTATAATTGTAACGAATAGTATTTGAATTAAAACGTTTTTAAAATATATACACACTCGGGTAAAACCTGGGCGTTGCCCGGGCCATTCGTCTAGTAACGGTATAAAGAAATAATGAACCTATCGTTCAAATATAAAATATAATATAATATATAATTATATAAATAATAATATAAATAATAATATAAAATATAATATATGATATAATACAATAAAATATAAATGAGATACTAAAAATTAAATTTCTATTTAATGAATTACATATTTTATTCTTATAAAGATTATCGATTAAAGGTACTTATATATATTTAAAGGTTCTCATAAAGGTTACCGATTTAAAAGTTTATTTTATTGTATTTAAAGAAACATATTTTCATTTAAGTATTGTTATTTATTTTAAAAGATTAAGTAATTGTGCAAAACGATAATTGCCTTAAAAATAAATTGCCTTAAAAAAAAAAGAAACATTCGCGGTGATTTTGTCTTGCATTCGTTTATACAATTATCATATATATTGGCATCATATATTAACTTTATGAACGGAAAAATATGTCCAGGGTAGCCTAGTGGTCATGGCATCTGCCCGGTAAGCGGAAGGTCGTGGGTTCGATTCCCATCCCTTGACACTTTTTTTATTTTATCCATTCTGACCAAAATCTATCCGTGAACTTCACACAGACAGAATAAGTTTTGGTCAGAATGGATAAAATAAAAAAAGTGTCAAGGGATGGGAATCGAATCCACGACCTTTCGCTTACCGGGCAGATGCCATGACCACTAGGCTACCCTGGACATATTTTTCCGTTCATAAAGTTAATATATGATGCCAATATATATAATAATTGTATAAACGAATGCAAGACAAAATCACCGCGAATGTTTCTTTTTTTTTAAGGCAATTTCTTTTTAAGGCAATTATCGTTTTGCACAATTACTTAATCTTTTAAAATAAATAACAATACTTAAATGAAAATATGTTTCTTTAAATGAAATAAAATAAACTTTTAAATCGGTAACATTTTTAATGAGAACGTTTAAATATATATAAGTACCTTATAATTGTAACGAATAGTATTTTAATTAAAACATTTTAAAAACACACAGTTTGGAACGGGACGTTTCACAAGAGTGACATCCATGGCGCCAATTTATAATTGTAACGAATAGTATTTGAATTAAAACGTTTTTAAAATATATACACACTCGGGTAAAACCTGGGCGTTGCCCGGGCCATTCGTCTAGTAACGGTATAAAGAAATAATGAGCCTATCGTTCAAATATAAAATATAATATAATATAATATAAATAATAATATAAAATATAATATATAAAAATATAAATAATAATATAAAATATAATATATAATATAATCCAATAAAATATAAATGAGATACTAAAAATTAAATTTCTATTTAATGAATTACATATTTTATTCTTATAAAGATTATCGATTAAAGGTACTTATATATATTTAAAGGTTCTCATAAAGGTTACCGATTTAAAAGTTTATTTTATTTTATTTAAAGAAACATATTTTTATTTAAGTATTGTTATTTATTTTAAAAGATTAAGTAATTGTGCAAAACGATAATTGCCTTAAAAATAAATTGCCTTAAAAAAAAGAAACATTCGCGGTGATTTTGTCTTGCATTCGTTTTTACAATTATTATATATATTGGCATCATATATTAACTTTATGAACGGAAAAATATGTCCAGGGTAGCCTAGTGGTCATGGCATCTGCCCGGTAAGCGGAAGTTCGTGGGTTCGATTCCCATCCCTTGACACTTTTTTTATTTTATCCATTCTGACCAAAATCTATCCGTGAACTTCACACAGACAATATAAGTTTTGGTCAGAATGGATATAATAAAAAAAGTGTCAAGGGATGGGAATCGAACCCACGACCTTCCCCTTACCGGGCAGATGCCATGACCACTAGGCTACCCTGGACATATTATTCCGTTCATAAAGTTAATATATGATGCCAATATATATAATAATTGTATAAACGAATGCAAGACAAAATCACCGCGAATGTTTCTTTTTTTTTTAAGGCAATTTCTTTTTAAGGCAATTATCGTTTTGCACAATTACTTAATCTTTTAAAATAAATAACAATACTTAAATGAAAATATGTTTCTTTAAATAAAATAAAATAAACTTTTAAATCGGTCACCTTTTTATGAGAACCTTTAAATATATATAAATACCTTATAATTGTAACGAATAGTATTTTAATTAAAACATTTTGAAAACACACAGTTTGGAACGGGACGTTTCACAAGAGTGACATCCATGGCGCCAATTTATAATTGTAACAAATAGTATTTGAATTAAAACGTTTTTAAAATATATACACACTCGGGTAAAACCTGGGCGTTGCCCGGGCCATTCGTCTAGTAACGGTATAAAGAAATAATGAGCCTATCGTTCAAATATAAAATATAATATAATATATAATAATATAAATAATAATATAAATAATAATATAAAATATAATATATGATATAATACAATAAAATATAAATGAGAAATTAAAAATTAAAATTCTATTCAATGAATTACATATTTTATTCTTATAAAGATTATCGATCAAAGGTACTTATATATATTTAAAGGTTCTCTTAAAGGTTACCGATTTAAAAGTTTATTTTATTTTATTTAAAGAAACATATTTTCATTTAAGTATTGTTATTTATTTTAAAAGATTAAATAATTGTGCAAAACGATAATTGCCTTAAAAAGAAATTGCTTAAAAAAAGAAACATTCGCGGTGATTTTGTCTTGCATTCGTTTATACAATTATTATATATATTGGCATCATATTGTTGCACTGGGCTGCGGTTTGGCAGATTCTTCAGTCTTGAGTCTCTCCTCAGACGTGTCTTGCATCTTTCCAGAACGTGTCTCAACCATCTTACAAGGTTAAACCAATCAATAATAAGACAACTATAAATTTAGGTAGCACCTAGAATCTCTCTTTATTTACCACATCAAAGTTTAAAGCATGTAGGGTATTTAGTGTATCAAAATACAAATGTTTTATAGTACATAATATTTTATATTAATAATCTGTTTTATAAAAATAAATAAATTTATAATTTGAATTTTAAATATATTAAAAATAATATTATAAATAATTTTAAAAATAGGCGCATTAATCATGATGCAACACTTCCCCCTCTCCAGAGGTCGTCACGTCCTCGTGAGTGACCTCATCAATTCTTTCAAAATAGGGTTTGAGTCTTGAGACATGGACAATCAATGGGTCTTGGCCAGGATTATCTTTCGGCTCAATTAAGTAATTTACGTTGGACAGCTTCTTTAATATTCGATATGGCCCAAAATATTTTCTCAATAGTTTTTCACATTTTCCGATTTTCCTGACTGGTGTCCAAACTGCCACTAAATGTCCTGGTTCATAGATTCTCTCGTTGTGTTTTTTGTCATAGTTTCTTTTCATTCTTTCCTGAGTCTTCTCTGTGTTTTTAATGACTACCTGTCTCGTCCTTGCTATTTTATCTAAGTAGTTTTCTATATATTCGTCGTAATCGTCCATGTTACAGTCCGTTGGGATATTCTCGTCGTCTAAGAGGGACATGGGTTCCCTCCCAAACAACAGGAAAAATGGAGAGTAGCCTGTGGTTTCTTGAATTGTGGTATTATATGCGTGGGTGATAAAAGGAAGGATTTCGTCCCAGTTCTTCTGATCCGTATTCACATACATGCTGATCATATTGATTAAAGTTCTATTTAGCCGTTCCGTTAGTCCGTTAGTCTGGGGGTGGTAGCTCGTTGTGAAGCAATGTTTAACTTTGCACATTTTCATAACCTCCTTCATCAAATTGCTAGTGAATTGTGAACCTCTGTCGCTGATAAGAAATTTTGGAGCCCCGTGACGTAAAAATATATGTTCGATTAAAATTGTAGAGACTTCTTTCACTTTCGCTTCTGGTACTGCCTTTGTTTCAGCATACTTGGTATAATAATCCGTCAACACAATGATCCATTTCCTTCTTCTTTTCGTTGATGGCAAGGGGCCAACAAAGTCAATTCCGATTCTTTCAAAAGGGTAGTTAGCTGGGGGAATAGGTTGTAGAAGTCCAGATGGCAACTGATTTGAACCTTTCCGACTTTGGCAAAGATGGCACGTCTTTACAAATTCGGAAACATCTTTCAGCATGGAAGGCCAATAGTATTTATTCTTCAATCGGTATGTGGTTCTGGCGACGCCCAGATGGCCATTCAGCATATGGTTGTGGTATTCACTCATGATTTCTTTCCTTCTCTTCTTTGGCACTACCAGCAACCATTCTCTACCTTCAGGATTTGGATTTTTCTTGTAGAGACACCCATTTTCTTCTTTAAAGTTCTGTGTAATTGAACGCTTGTTTCCACTAAGGTTCTCCTTAATATTCTCAATAAAATCATCCTTTTCGTCTATTATTTGATTCAAAAATAGTCTTTCATAATCCTCGTCCCATTCGTTTTCTGGTAAGGGTCCTCTAGATAGACCATCAGCGTCCAGATGTTTTTTTCCCGATTTGTGTATAATTTCGAAATTATATTCCTGAATCTTCAGTGCCCATCGTGCTAATCGACCGGTCGGATCTTTTAAATTCTTAAGCCAGCATAGTGCGTGATGATCAGTTACGATTTTA